GGTCCCCGCCTGGCGTTCGGCGACCGGCCCCCGACAGGCCGTAGGCAGCCGCGCGATGCCACGGGAGAGCCGCGGGCGGGGGCGGGAGGATCCCGGTGCACCGTGAGCCTCGGGTCAGGCCGGGTCCGGAGCAGATGAGGACTGCGCGCGCCCCGCTCCATTGGCCCGGCAGCCTTGGTTGCGAAGGCAGAGGAAACCAGACGGCGGCACAGAGCCACCTCTCCACTAACACGCCGCGGACACTCAGCTCGACCCCCAGCGCCGCTCGGGGGATCTGAGGTGACGGTCCACACTCGGGGGAAGGTGGCCGCAGGGGACGCGGCCCCGGAGGGAGGTGCGGCGGCGGGGTGGTAACGCCGGGGTGGGGAGGGGAGGGACTGAGCGAGGGGCGACGCCTGGGACTGGCGAGGGGCAGAGGGCGGGACCGCGGGGGAAAGCCCAGCCGCCCACGCTGAGGGCCGCGGGGCCGGCCTCGGGGGCGTGGCCTAGGCGGGAGGCCCGTGTGGGGGCGGGGCGAGGTGTCGTCCTAGGCGTGAGGGGCCGGTGCTGGGCGCGTGCTCCCGGCTTGATGGAAGCGAGAGCTCAGCCAATCGCTTCTTCAGCCGACCAGGGATCCCGCCAAGCCCCGCCTTCGTGCTGTTCTTCCCTTGGAGACGAATCTGAGGCGTCCTTACACCAGGCGCGTGCGGCGGTAGTGTTTCCGCGTTCGGCCCCGCCCCCCCGCTCAGGGCCCCGCCCCGGGCCCCGCCCCTCCGAGCCTGGCTTCAGGACACGCCCCCTTCCTGGCGCGAGCGGCTTCCTGAAGCTCGAAGCTTCCTCACGCGATTCCCTTCCCCCTCAGGGATCGCGCCGGGAGTCGGGCTCGGGGCCGCCGCCGCCTCTGCGGCCTCTGCTGCCACCATCGCCTTATTCCCCCCTCCCCGCCCCATCCCTCGCCATGGCCGAGGACCTCTCCGCGGCTACGACCTACACCGAAGATGATTTCTACTGCCCCGTCTGTCAGGAGGTGCTCAAAACGCCGGTGCGGACCGCGGCCTGTCAGCACGTGTGAGTAGCCGCCCCGAGCGGACGTTTAGGCCCGGACCCGGGTTCGGGCTCCGGCCTGGCGGGAGCCGAGCCCGCCGCGGCCTGCCCCCGAGCGCCGTTCGCCCCGGCTGCCGGTTCCCGGCCCTGAGCCTCTAACCTTCCGGGCCGGCTCGCCGCGCCGGGCGCCCTCAGCCTCAGCCCGGGTCCCCGGATCCCCTCGTGTTCGCAGCCCCCGGGCGGCGGTCAGGCCCGCTCGGCGGCGTCTCGGGGGCCCTCGAGGCCTCAGGGCTCTCTGTCAGGCCCGGGAGGAATCGCAGGGAACGTGGAGCCTTTGTGTTTCCTAGCAACCCAGTGAAGGCTGGGGTGTCGAGTGTCAAACCCGCTGGGCGCCCGCTCCCCCGCTCCGTGATCCGCTGGCTTTAAAGCGCCCCCCCCCTCCCCGCCCTTCACGATCCAGAACGCTGAATTTATCCTCCAGCCCTGCTTCCCAGGCCAGCCCTGCATACATCCGGGCTCGTGTGAAATTCAGTAACACACCAGAATGGTTTAAAACAAGTTTGTTTTGTTTTGTTTTGTTTTTTTAAATTTCCCTACTCATGTGTTAGAACTGACAGCATATCCCCATACTGAAGTGAGAGCTTCCCGTTGCGTTAGTTACACCCTTCTGTTTCTTATTTACTACATCACTACAGAAGTGGAAGTCAGAAGAGGCGTTCTTTTCAGAGGAATGAGCTGAAGATGTACTAACTGGGAGTGGAGGCGGAACCCAAAGGAATTAGAGGAGGTGTCACAGTGCTGCTTCGTTTGGCATATTTACAGCACGAACTTTGATCATATTCTAGACTCCTGGTGTCAGAAAAGCTTGAAGGAAAATTTCTGGATGTGTATAATGCTTTTGACGAACTTGGTTGATGACCAGAGAGTCCCTGGAGAACTTTTCAAGTAAACATACCAATTCCCCAGTCTCCATTTCAATTTTACCAAAGAATTTCAGGCAGGTGGGGCCTGAAAATCTTGAACATACACACACCCCGAGCTTGCAAGTTTTTGTGCTTGGGAACAACCAAAGAGACTTGAACATCGTTCTAGATTTTTTTTCCCTTTCACCTTTTTATTTTTAAGAGTTGGGGTTTTATAACTTTGTAAAGAATACATAGAAGCCAGGCTTGCTGGTGCCCGGTGTATTTCCAGTACTTTGGAAAGTGAGGGAGGATAATCTTGAGTTTGAGGCTAGCTTGGGCTTCATAGTGAGTTCCAGGGACTATTTGGCAAGACTCCCTCCTTAAACGAAACAAAGATACAAAAGTGATAGAATTTTGGGTTCTTAACAATTACCATTACTATAGATGAGCTCTTCTTACTTTTCTCATTTTCTTAGTCTTTTTTTTTTTTCCTTTTTGGTGCTAGTCCAGGGGCTTGAACTAAGGGCCTGGGCAATGTCCCTGTGCTTTTTTTTTTGCCCAAGGTTACCACTTTACTGAGTTACAGCTTCACTTCCAGCTTTTTTGGGTGCATAATTGGAACTAAGAGTTTTATAGACGTTCCTGCCCCAGCTAGCTTCAAACACAATCCTCAGAGGATTGCACCTTCATGAGTACCTAGGATTCCAGGTATGAGCACTAGTGTTGTGTGAGAATATGAGGCTTTTAATAATAGAAACTATGTCAATTTTGTTTTTCTTTGTTTAAAGGAGACAAATTACAGTCTGAAATTCCTATATTATTTATTTCAGCAGATGCAGGTTGTTAGAAAAGTATTTTAAGCTCTCTAGGGTGCAGGTGTACATTTTTGCTTGTAATCTATCAGTATTTATTATCATAACTTTATGTCTTTATTTAAAACATTTGTAAGCTATATTGTAGGCATGACTCAAGTGATAGAGAGCCAACTATGAGTGAAAAGCCCATCAAGTGTGTGAGGCCCTGAATTCAAGTTAAGTACCAACACAGACAGACACAAATTTAAATTCTGTGCTGAGAGTGACTAGAAAGGAAAGAAGAAGAGTTGGCAAGGTGAGAGGAAATTGTAGTAGCTGCCGAGAATATATATACACAGGAGATCTTTTCTGGACAGAATCATCTCAATTGTTCTTTGGGTCATTGACCTCACAGAACTCATTTTAATATTTAGGAGCCCTAGAATTTTCAGGCAGATTGCTCTAATCTACTTTCCTTGTGGTACATTTTGTTTTATTAATGAATTAATTTTTTTGTCAATCCTGGGGCTTGAAACTCTGGGCCTGGGCACTGTCTTTGAGCTTCTTTTGTTCAGGGCTAGCACTCTACCACTTGAGGTACAGTGCCATTTCCAGCTTTTTCTGTTTATGTGGTACTGAGGAATTGAACCCAGGGCTTCATGCATGCTAGGCAAGCATCCTACCACTAAGCCACATTCCTAGATTCTTGTGGTACATTTTAAATTAAGGACTATAATTTAGTTTTTTTATTTCAAGGCTATGAAAAAGAGAGTGGAGATGACTTTTTTTTTTTTTTTCAACTCAGGACTTTCTCAGTGCATTGGGCAGAGAATAATCCTCTACTGTGACTCTATCCAACAGTTCTGGCTGCTGAAAAATAAATTAAAATAGGAAGAGGGAGAAAAATCTTTATTTGGAAGGGATGGTAACAGTAGAATATGATTTTGATTGGTTGGAAGGAGTTTAGTGAGGAAACAGCCAAGGTTCTTAGTATGTCAGGTAAAAGCACTTTACCACTGAATATCTCCCCTTTCTGCAAATAGAATTTTTTATTATTATTTTGCCAGTCCTGGGGCTTGAACTCAAGGCCTGGGCACTGGTCCTGAGCTTCTTTTGCTCAAGGCTAGCAGTCTATCTACTGGAACCACAGTGCTACCTCTAGCTTTTCTTTTCTGTGTATGTAACACTGAGGAATCAAACCCAGGGCTTCATGCATGCTAGGCAAGCACTCTACCACTAAGCCACATTCCCAGCCCTGAATAGAATTATTTTTGTTATATTATTTGCTATGTCATTTATATTTCCTTTTTCACAAAGGAAAGAAAATGTTCCATTAAACAAGTTTATATTTTTGTCATAAAATCAGGTTCCCTTCCTCCCTCCCCTCCCCCAACTTCCCCGGAGCTGTGGATTGATCTTATATATGTACACCGATTTTTTTTTTTTTGTGGTTGGTTGTGGGGCTTGAACTCAGCCTGCGTGCTGCCCCTCAGCTCTTCAGCTCAAGGTGAGTGCTCTACCACTTTGAGCCACAGTGCCACTTGAGATGAGAGTCTCATAGACTTTCCTGCCTGGTCTGGCTTTGAAAGGCAATCCTTGGATCTCAGCCTCCTGAGTAGGATGACAGGTGTGAACCACCAGCACCTGGCTACATCCGAGTTTTGATCATAGAGAGACCATGATAAGGACTTGGGGTCTATTAGAAAATAGAAATAAGTTTTTGTTGTCCTGTCTAATGACAGGTAATGGTCTACCTACTGACTATCCTCAGGAACAAATCCATTATCATTAGGATAACTTTACCAAAATATAAATTCCTATTTAATCCTATTCACTCCTTCAAACAGCAGTTATTAGCTGTTCTGTATTTGGTGTTAAGTATTGGAAACTGTTGATAGTTTAATCATAAGACCTATAAATGAGTGTGATGGATGTGTAAGAGATTTAGATAAAAAATTTATGTCACATCTAAATCAGCTTAGGAGTATATGGATGATATCCTGGGTAAAGTTAAACTTTAAGTCAGAATTTGTATTCTAAGCTTGTTGGGGAATACCCTGAATAGATTTATATCATAATCAGAGCCATGACAATGTATAGAAAATTACTCTGTGTCCTAATTATAAAGTTTTTCTGGAGCCAAAGAATGAGTGTTACTGAGATGGACCATAGAGATCAGCAGGGACTTAATGTGTAATCCAACCAATTTGGATTTTTCCTGAAAGCCATTGAGACAGCTAAATTTTTTGGCTGTAGAGCAGCATGTTTATGACTTGATTTAGAAAGTTTACATTAGTGTCAGGGTTCACTGGGCAGTACTGATGTGTCAGGGAAGAGAATGATTACAACCGGAACTAAGGTAATAATAGTGGGAATAGAGAGAAGACTCCTGATATTTTAAAGACATATAAAATTTGAGGATTCTGCCAGGTGCCAGTGGCTCATGTCTGTAATCCTAGCTACTCAGGAGGCTGAGATCTGAGGATCACGGTTCAAAGCCAGCCTGGGCAGGAAACTCCATGAGACTCTTATCTCCAATAAACCACTAGAAAAAATCTTGCTTTTTCTGAGTAGTTTATTGGAGCTAAGAGTCTCATGGACTTTTCTGCCCCGGCTGGCTTCAATTACAATGACACATTCTCTTTCCCCTCAAAGGGCCCCTGTCAGCTTTATGGATATGTAGTAGTTAAATTGTTCTCAGTAATATTGAGCTTCTATTTTCTACCAATATTATAAATAGTATTGAGTATAGTATTCAACAAACTAGATGAAAGTGGTTTGATCAAGCCGGGTGCTTATGGTTCACACTTGTAATTGGAGCTACTCAGGAGGCTGAGATATGAGGATTGATGTTCAAAGCCAGCCTGGGCAGGAAAGTCTGAGATTCTTTTTTTTTTGGTGGGGGGTCCAGTCATGAGGCCTGAACTCTGGGCCTGGGTGCTGTCCTTCAGCTGTTCAGCTCAAGGCTAGCGCTCTACCACTTGAGCCACAGCGCCACTTCCGGCTTTTTTTCTTTTTGCTTATGTGGTGCTGAGGAATCCAACCCAGGGCCTTATGCATGCAAGGCAAGCGCTCTACCACTGAGCCACCTTCCCAGCCCCAAGTCTGTGAGATTCTTATCTCCACTTAACCCCCAGAAAATCAGAAGTGGCATTGTGGCTGAAAGTGATAAGCGCTAGCCTTGAGTAGAAAAAGCTTAGGGACAGTGCTCAAGCCCTGAGTTCAAGCCCCTTTACAGGAAAAAAAAAAAAGGGATTTGATCAGCCAAGTATGGAATAGTGCACACTGGTACTAAGGCCAGCATTGGGGTGGTTAAGGCAGTGGA